AAATTCCAAAGTCAAAATAAGTAGCAGTTTTTTCGAATTTAAAAATGATAGAAGTGGTGTTCTTGAAGGCTCTATTTTAGGGCCCCTATTATCCCTGATTTATACATCTCATCTACTTGTGCAATTTCCAAATATTCTATCAATGCTCGTGTCACCAAATGTATGACAATCCTTTTGCGAACTATCATCAGCTGCAACTTGACCTCTCACGAATTTCCTAGTGGAATAAAGACTGGTTGATTCGCATAAACTTCAATAAATGTATTGTCTTGCATATGGGAAACAGTAACCCTCGTATGAACTATTCCATTGACCCGATCGCTGAAATTTATGCCTAACGTTTACATCTCTTCTGATATCTCATAGTCTCATCATAAATTCGATAAAGCTAAAAGTTCCCTTTTCTTATTTAAAAAATTGTTTTCCAAATCAAAGTTTAAAAGTTCTGTTTATGAGACCTGTTCATCCTATTATATTGGAAGGCAAGATCTTCATTTAAACACAGATGGGCGTTTTGGTGATCACACTAATTCTCTCATAAACATATTCGTTGCACTGCAGCACTATTGAAGAATATTTTCTATGCAACCGAGTTTTCACTTGTGGAATTCAATACCCCTATCTATGTAGTATGTTCTACTTCGATCGATGCCTTTAAAAATCATGTGGGCTCTTTATTGCAAACTATTTTGCGACGTTATTTTATTAAGCATATGTCTGCGTGCACTTTCTATTTTTATTGTTTAGATTATTATAAGATTTACCTCTAATAATAATAAATAAACCAATTTGCTGCTTGGTGGTACCCTTAAGAACAAATTCGTTATGTACATTTCAAATATTCTCAATGAGGAACTATATCTATATCAGAGTTTATATTTGACGTTTTTCACAATCGGAGGATCGGCAAATATTGTGCAATAGAATAGCCAGAGCCAGACTTAACGCCCATTGATTTTTTCTTGCGGTAGTATTGGGAAGGCAATATTTACGTACATGTTCTAAACAACTTAGATAATTTTAAAAATTCGATCAAAGCAGAGATAATGCAGATTTTTCCAAAACAAGTAGAAATATACAAAATGAATTTGTTCACCATTTACTTAGGGTAGTACCAAAAAACAAGTGGTGGCCAATTTATACAGGGTGTTTCTAAAATAGGGTTCCAAACTTCTACTGCGTTTATAACTCATTAAAATAAGCCAAAAAGTTCCTATTAACATGTGCCCTAAAACGCACCCTTAGGAAGTTATACGCTCTTAAAAGGGCTCAAACAAAACTGTTTTTTTTTCTGTTATTGACAAAACGGTCGCAAATAAATAGAAAAAAATTTATGGGTCTTACATACCTTTTTACGTTAAATAACATGGGCTACTCCGTTTTTCGACATGTAAATCATATGCGTCCCATTGAGGTTGGTGAAGGAGGTTTTGGCCCGTAATTTTTTTATTTCAATTTTTTTACAATTTTCTCTACAATTTTACGTAAAAAGTATTATCTTTGTCCAAATAGATATTTCCAATGGTTTTCGAGTAAATTGAGTTTAAAGTTATTAGGCCAAAAATTACAAAAATCTGTTTACCATGGCAAATAAAAGACTGATGTTGCCACAACGCTTAACAATTTAAGTTATTGATAAACTGTCAATTGAGTTTTGCAGTGTTTAATTAGTAAAAGTGGTGAGTGAAAAAATTTAAGTATACAATATTATTGCAACTCATAAAATGGAGTCATATTCAAACACGGAAATGGCAGATATGCACTTTATGTACGGCCGTGCGGCTGAAAATGCGTCAGAAGCGAGGCGTCTGTATGCGGCAGCATACCCGAATAGAAGACTTCCTTCTCGACAGGTATTTCAGAGGATCCATCAACGTTTAAGGGAAAATGGTTCATTCCAACCGAGAGTAAATGATCGTGGCAGAGACAGATTTTTAAGAACACCGGTGATGGAAGAAAATCTATTTAGAGCTGTGCAGGACAATCCAAGGGTTAGTGTAAGAAGTGTCGCACGTATGCATAACATAAGTTTTTCCGTAGTTTGGCGAATTCTTTGCGAACAACTACTTCATCCTTTTCATATCCAGCGTGTTCAAGCTTTAAATCCGAATGACTACGAACCACGTCGGCAGTTCTGCCAATGGTTTTTGCGAAAATCGAGGCGGATTCCGAATTTTGCATCTCTTATTTTGTTTACGGATGAGGCAAGCTTCAGTAAAGATGGTTATGTCAATTTTCATAACGCTCATGAATGGGCTGATGAAAACCCACACAGCATATTTCAGTCCAGACATCAGATTCGGTTTTCCGTCAACGTTTGGGCAGGCATTTTAGGCGATCGGCTAATCGGAC